AATGTGCATTCTGGAAGAGCATGGCTTGTGAATTGGAGATCCATGAAAGGAACAGACCTGCTAAAAGAATAACATTTTGACGAAACAAGCTTATTTGCTTAACAGCTTTCCACTGCAATTAACATATGCAACAAATGTGTCTATTTAATGTGACAGTCTGCTCAAATAACCCTCTTTCAAGAGTGGGATTATATAATTTGGAAATAGCAGTTACACTGAGATTAAAATTATTGAATATCTTGCTTATCAAAGATGCCAGCAGCACTGTCTCCTCCTTTCCTCTGTACTTCATGCTGACTTGTAAATGATCTGCTTGAGCTCTGGTGTCCTTAAATTAATGAACTGTCTGACAGCAGCACTCGGCACAGGACTATTTGGAACAAAAGAAAGAGAAACTGAAAGAAACCCTGGGGAAGACAATCTGTGCAGCAGCACTTCTGGAAGAATTTGGCCTTACCAGGCTTCGTGGGACAGGAGTTGCATTGGTCCTACAGGAGTGAAACCGTGAGGATGCAAATGGCAAGGCATGAAAAAATAAAGCGACAAGGCATGTAGTTAGGGATCAGCTGGTCCCTCAGTGGCTCATCAGTGTTCAGCCCATGGTTAGCAGCTCCACTGAGACCATTTGCTCCTGGGACAGAAGCTGGGGAGCTTGTGACCAGAGCAGTGGCTTGGGCTGAGAGCGGGGACGCAGCGTGCCCCACAGAATTAGGAGTTGTCTAACTACAACCTAGAAGAAATGCAAAAGTAGTCAAATGTTGACTTCAAAAGGTAAGATTTGGACTTGATTTTTTCAGGAATTGCCATGCTGGTGAGGGTGAGAGCACTGACCAGCCAAACCCCTGTCACTGCCACTGTCACATTCTGCACACCTGTGTCAGAGACTTGCTCCTCCAACCTCCTCAGCAGCATTTAAAAAATACACAAATTAGTTTAACCTCATGTTATGAGAGAAACAAATCAAAGGGGAGGGTGGTCTAATATCTGTTAGATAATCTGTGCATGGAAATGGCTGGCCCAACACTCATCATGGACAGGGTCTCATCAGCTGGTAGCCAAGAGCACTGCAAGGAGCAAGGAAGGTGATGCAAGCAATAAATTCTAAACCTCAGGAAAAGGCAGTGGGGCTGCTGCTCCCTTGCCCAGGAATGGGGCAATTTTCATTACTACTGTACAAGTTCCCTTGGCCCAGAGTGACCAGTTTTTGAGCTGTTTCTCTGTTCTTTGGCCCTGAGATCCTTTCTGCATCAATTTCAGGGTATGGAACGAAGGGGAGAAGGCTGCTGTGTGCTTCTCCATAGGCTGGCTGGAGACATTGGAACCCTGAAGTAAAGCCAAAACACAACTTTGATATCAGAAATCATCTGTGAAAACAAGCTTCCCCCACAGCTGCTTAGAGAGAGGAGCAGGTGAGACAAAACTGGAGATGGCTCTAGCCCATGTGCCCTTGAAAGGTCACAGAGAGCTCAAGGGCACACTCACTGTTAAGCCAAGATACAATCTCCAGGTTCAGTTTATTTTAGAGCTGTGATAAATTCCCCTTCCCAACACCTCCAAAGGTGGGGATTTTTTACAGCCCACAACAGCCTGCCCACTCAGGAGTTCACTGCGTTAAGATTTGTAAAATTGTAAAATTGAGGAGCAACATAAGGAACCAGGTCTTTTCCCCTTCTTACCTGACCAAAAAAAAACCCTTCTATGGTCAGTGCTCTGCTCACAGAAGCTCCATTTTAAACACCTCCAAGACCCTCAAAACCACAGCATCTGTCTCATTACAAGGGGGTTTTTAATGACAGTCTGGAACACTCCTTGAGTTGTCCCCAACCCTGGACAGCTTCCAAGTGTTCCTAAAAGAGTATAGTGAGGCTCCAACTCTGAGGCATTGTGTTTTCAAAAGCGGAGGAGGATTTGGCTGTCACTGGATCTCATTTGGACCAGCACCCATTTCAGCTAGAAGATGCAAACTCTTTCGGTGTGGTGATGGAACATGCAGTTGCCTATCTGGGCAATGTGGAAAAAGCTTGTGCTTACAGCTAGAGGATAAAGAGAGCAACCACAGAATCCATTTCTCGGCCCTGTTGTCCCCACATTTTAAAAATTAAATCTGAATTAGCAACTTGTGTTGCCCAGAGAATGGCAGGTCACCTCTAAGGCTGTAATCTTGTCTCTTCTACATGCTAAACTTGCAGACTCTTCAGGCTGCAGCACCCGAATTTCCCTCAGGTGTACTGAACATTTCAGGTGATGATTGACCGCTCTCCCTGATATTTGTATGATTATTAGTCTCTTCTCTGTGTGCTATTCAGAGGACAGCATTGCTCATAAAAAGCAGATAGGAGCAAGCTGGGCTGCTGCCTCTGGTGAGTAGGAGAGAGGATGGGCTGATTGATGACCCTTGGCTGTTTTCTGATGTTGCAGTTGTTTTTTATGATGTCATTAGGAAGCTATAGTCATATTAAGGAATCCCTCATGACATCATAAAGGACTTGATATTTCACTAATGTTATTTCAGCAGAGTGAAGCTCTGGCATTTTATAGTCTTTGCTTTCCCCATAGAATTAGGAGTTGTCTAACTACAACCTAGAAGAAATGCAAAAGTAGTCAAATATCGACTTCAAAAGTTATGGTTAAAGAATGCTAATGTATTTGGCTCTTTTGGAGCACATAGCACCTTTAGGTGGAGGACATGATGTGTTTATAAAAGATACCATTCGTGAATCATATTCTCACACAAGAGAAGAGAATTGCACAAGGCTTCCACTATTTTTTGGTGCACAGAAAGAAAGAATTCTTTTTCCTGAACCCTGACAAACATCCCCTAGGACAGCACCATGGCACCACTTAGCATGAGAGCACTGAGTTGTGATGTAATGGTGCAATCAGGACAGCACTGACAATGGAGCCCAAAGCTATCATCTCCTAACATACGTGGGAAATCTAAACCCTGCACTGGGAAGAGACACTGATTTCATGGGTTTGGTGTAGGTGGAAAAATCAGTTTGAGTGCTGTTGCCACCACAGGGGGTATGTGAGGACTCAGGCTGGTCAGCCTTGTTCACACCTCCCTGTGCAAGCTCAGCATCCTCCTTGCAGCAACACATACCTTTCACCAGGTGAAAGTGCTGTTAGTTAAGGATAGGGACTGCATGCCAAGGGAGAAATCAAAGTACAGTTTGCTTTACTGGAGTATTAAGGGACTTCTTGGCAAGTCTTTACGCTGGTTCTGCCTGTCTTCTTGTTCTAATAGCATAGAAATATTTTTCATGGCTCCTTAACCTTTCCTTTTTTATCAGAGGAATTGCACCTCTGGTTTTACATTCATTTTCTTTGTTCTCTGGGAGTTCACAATGCAAAGGAACTTACTTTTAATCTACATTATTGTGATTTTTACACTCTTCTCTCTGCTTGCTCCCAATTTCTGTAGTAAACAGTGATAATCTTTATTGTATCAGTTTAAGATTTTTCATTACTTCTAGCTGTGATTTTGGAACAGTGCTGGAAAGGCAGCTAAATGGCAGAGCACCTGAAGCCCCACTGAATGGCAATAGGAATTGAACCTTTACCTTACACACGTGCTTCCAAAAATCCTTGCTGTTGACTGCAAAATTCCACTTGAAGCTGTTTTAAAAGCTGTTGAAAACTTTACCCATAATGACAGGCAGAAAACTCCAGAATCTAAGACTGCCATATGCACAGTAATCTGAAATGAACACTGTTTTATTTCACATAGAGAAGTACACAAAAATGCCTCTCTGAGAACCCAGCTGGATTTGTGGGAGATCCTTTTAGGCCTGAATCCATCTGCATTCTGAAAAATCAGAAAATTGGAATGAAAGGGGTTTTTTTTATCCCAGAGATGCTACTGCAAGTATGAGTATACAACACCTCAAATTATTTTATAACCCCCAAAACAGCTAATTGAACTGTTTCATATGAGGCACAATGCCAGCCCTGCCTGTACCTCTGCATATTGTTATTAGATCTGAAGAGGGGAGGAGAGAAGAGCATGCATTTCAGAAACTCAAGGTATTCAAAATCTTGCTGAGGAGACTTTCCTTCCTCAGTCCTCGTGGTCCTAAGCCACTCTGCCTCTCTGGAAGTGCCCTGCTCATCACACTGTGGGCCCTTGACAATCATAACCCTCAAAGCATCAGATTTTTATTATTGTCAAGGGCACAAAAATCTGTGCCCAAGAGCCTCCCATCTCCATTGCTCAGCCTGCCAGCTGAGGGAAGAGCTACTGACTTAAAATCCTGCAATCCAGAGTCTGTCCCTTGCTCTTCCCTGCACTGACACGAAGCTCAGGTGTTGCATCAGGAGCGAGAGAGGGCTCCAGGGATCAGCAGAGCCTGGCAATGGGCTCCCATGGTGTTCTCCTGTGGTCACTGGTGAGCTCTACCTGCAAGAAGGCTGTGCTGTAGGCATTTGCTGCTTTGTGCTCAGCCTGTCCCTGCTGTGTGATTTCACAGGCAGCCGAGGACACAACCCTCTGAGGAACAAACAGCTGTACTTTCCTGTACCAACAGTGACATGCACAGTGAAGATGAACACAAGAGAGAGTCCTCAGAGGAAGTCTTGGCACTTGGCATTTCGCAGGGTCACTGGTGGCTTTGTGATCCCTTTTTTAAATGTATGCATCGCCAATTAAATGTCTGTTTGACAGGCTGCACCGCCCTGGACATGTCTGGAGATGCCCCAAAGGAGGAGGTGGGAAAGGGGGAGAGTTGCCTGAAGCCTGGGATAGTTATCTGTTTGCTTTGAACAGAACACCCAATCTACCTCTGGGGTTTTGCTTTCACACAAGTTCATCCAGTTCACCTACTTATCCTGCTCGTTATTAATAGAATTGTTAGCAGGTTCACTCCACAGCTGGTAGGGAAGGTGTGCACATGGGTGGCACCTGAAGACAGAAAGTATCTGATTGTATCTAATACTATTTGGCTCATCTTCCCAGGTGTTCTGTTTTACAGATAATAAACCAGACAACTTCACAGAGGGAGGTACAGGCACACCCTAGCTGTGGGCTCCAGCTGTACTCCAGCATCAGCTCACAAGTGGGGTACCTGTGCTGGGGAGGGGTTAGGGCTATGCCTGCACATACAGGGAGCACAGACATGGGTGCTGTGACCTGTCCCACGTGAACAGATTTGTCCTCAGAGGCACCTGTGCTCTCAGCCCCTCACTGACACTGAGACTCTCTACTGCCTATGGACACATCCTTCCCTTGTGCACCTTTTCCATTTCTCATTTGTGGCCATTTACACATAAGCTGCTCATGGCTTTCCACAGGTGTAATGCAGCAGGCTGTGTTGGTGTCACCTGCACGTGACAGAACTCAGGTGTGCCATGTACCCAGGAACAGTGATCGTGCACACTGCTCCTGCTGAGAGATTGCTCTGTGTCTTGGGACAAACAAAGAGAAGGAGGTGTGCCATGGACCTGAGGCTGAGCACTCTGCTCTGTCACACATTCTGCATCAGCTGTGGTCTTTCTCTGGCTGAGTACTGACACTGAGAGGTCAGGTGCAAGATTCTCAGCTAGAGGAAGCTGAAGAACAGATAGGAAACAGAGGAAAGTCTCCCAAAACAACCACAGTTCCCCACCTCTCTCAGTGTTATGTAGAATGTAGAATACAACCTGCTGCACTCCATCTGAGCATGTAAGGGTGAGCAGTTCACTGGTACTGAATGCTCCATCCTGCCCTCACATACAGATAGAGATCTTGATTTAGCTTTTCAGCCATGGATGCCTTTGAACTCAGACCTAGCAGAGAGGGATGAATCTTTTCCATCTGATTCATATCCAGAGCTTCTGCTATTTACTCAAGCCTCTTGGGTGGAGACATTGGGCTGGAGAGCCTGTGGGAACAACTCCCTTCAAGTTCTAGCTGCAATTTGAAAGCTGTGGTGTAGGAAGAAAAACAGGGTAACCAGCCTGTCTTCAAAGTGAGCCTTTCTTCTCCCCAGAGCAAATGTAGCTCTGACCCCATTTAACACCAGCTCTCTCACAGGGGTTGGTACATGCGGTGTTTCAGGCTCAGAGAAGAACTTCTCTGCCTGAGTGGAGCAGGTACCTGTGTTGAATAAGCTCTTTCCTCAGTACCATTATAGTAAGGGTAGCAAGTAATTTTTTTTTTTTTTTTTTTTTTTTGCTTTTGCATCTGGACAGCACAATTTTTATGTCAGTCAACATTTTTTGCAATGCTAGCTTTAGAAGGAATACATGCTGAGTGACCCTTTAACAAGTTAATATGTTCACATCTGCCTCAGAGCAAGCTGGAGACCCCTGGCCAGAGCAGCGCTGCTTTAGCTTGTCAAGATGGGTTCATTAGAATTTTCATCACAAATTCAGTGCATGAAATAAGGTTGGCTTTCAGCCTGGTGACTTGCCTCAGTCACCTCTGCTTTTAGTGTGTGTTCAGGACGAGCAAGAATGTCTTACTCAGTGGTAATCGTGTCATCTGGGACTTTTAAAGCTCACCTTTATTCCTGGCAAACCAACACGTAATTAGTTTGATAATATTAAACGCACTGGATATTTATGTTATCAGTTATTAATGTACGTTGCTGATATGTGATTCCATTTGACTTGAACAATGCATCTTTTATACTCTAGATGAAACAGGCACTACTTTGCTTAACTACTGGGCAGATGCAGCCTGATAGTCACTCACCTGCCCCTAGAAAACACTGCATTAGTGGAACAGTTTCTTGTGTTTCTGTGCCTCTGTGCAGGTGGTCAAGACCTGCCAGCTGTTGGAATATTCTTACACATCCTTGGACATAAGTTAAAAGGTATCGTGGAGCTCTTCAGACTAAGTGTATGGTGTAGTTTTGAGAGCTTTGATTAGGATATCCATGATCAGGAACCAAAAGAGGGGAACACAGAGTAATGCACCTCTCGTGGGCTCCAAAAAACCCACTCAGAGTAGATGCAACACAATGGCTGTTTTCTAAATATTCACAATTGACTCAGTGGAGCTGTGCCTCAGGGCTGCAGATCACTCCAGAAGCAGTGGTTCAGGAGTTCCTCTTGCACAAAGAAAACCCCTTTTCCAAGGAATTTTTAATGTACCTGAATACATAACGAATAGGAGCAATCTGCAAAGGGCAGGAGCTTGAACAGATAAACTTTACAATAACACAGATAATAAAACTTATTTATAATGTCATGCTCTTCTTTCTATTTATGAAACCTAGACATATTTATCTTTTATTTAGAAATTATTAGTCCCAAATTGAGCTCAGATGCTTCATCTCCTGTTTGAATTATGAGCAAGAGAAAATAATCGAGCAACAATACCCCTGGAGTGAGGGCTGTACATCTTTAATCTAATTAATTTGTGAGTATTTCCAGGGACACCCCTCTACAGCACCTGAATGCCT